TGAAGATATTTGGTCGATAGGATTACCTGACCATCAACAAAAGAAACCCTCTTCGTGCTGAGCTCGATACTGGCGCTGCGATTGATTGAGGAGAACTTAACGAAGTATCGGGAGTCGAAGACACCAACAGTGGAATCAAAACATGCCAATGACTATAGCCGGAGGCTTGAGTTGTTTGAGACTGCGCGCAAAGTATTCGCCTGTACCCAAGGAGGTAAGGCACGTGTGGAGTCGCATACGATTCTTCTCAAGGTTTAGGGCGACACTGACGTCTTGCTGTATACGTTGACGAAGAATCACATGAATGAACATCAAAAAAATATATCGTCAGTTTCTGGCCGAGCTCGGGCCGGAGGCCTTCAAGAAACCTTTGCTCACCCATCGCAACGCGTTAACCACGGTTGGAAACGGGTTGGTAGGGTGTCTGGAGACAACACCAAAGCAAGGGAATTGATATTAGAGGAGGAACTGGCGGAGAATGTGAGCTTGAGCTTGCACAACTCCTTCTGCTTGAACAGGGAATCCAAAGTAAAGAGTTTACCGAACCAGACGAAGAGGTTGCAAGTGCAAAAGAAATGGATGCAAGCCTACGAGCAACTGAAGACTTGGAAGAGATCGTAATCAGTTCCGATTATGAAGAAGAAATGTCGAGACAAAGTACTCTGTCGAGTGCATCGGACCCAATACCTCAATGACGGGGGGCGCCAATTGAGCAGGGTGCTCAGGGGCTAGTTCTTGAGTCTTGAGCGTGGAAGGCGAAAGGGGCTTGAATGTGAACTCATATGAAATCTGAGTGTACGAAAAAGAAATTTTAACATACAAATTATTGTTATTAATATACTATAAGTAATACATAAATAAAAACGCTGCATGACAATTTTCTGATTGGATAGGACAAAAGAAATTTTAATGAATGGCTTGTAAAGCTGGAAATCAGGTGCAAGTGGATGCAGATTTTGATTGCTGTTTAGTGATAATGTGACAATTTTGCATGTCTGTGAATTTTGGGGTGTAGATAATGTTAAATCTGCTGTAAACTTCTGTAAATGACCACTGGCACTGAATATTGAGACGCACTAAACATTCTTGGTGCTCACTGACAGACGAAGGCACGCAATGAAGACATCGATATTGAATCCGGAGAGTATGTGCCAGTCGGTCATAATGAGCTGAACGTTTAATCTTGATTTTGGGGAGAAAAGTAAATTTTCAAAATTTCGAATTGCTCAAGTTTTTTGCGACAACTGGAAATACGAAAAAAAATGCAAAAGAAGATTCGAGTGAGAATCGCGGGAAATTTGCTGGAAGAAAACTAGAGTTAAATTGCTATTCACAGTTTTAATGGATTTATACGACGCGAATAGAGCTATCTTGTTTCTGATAGGAAGACGAAATTGCAGGAAGAGAGAAAGAAAAACGATGGATTGTACCAGAGTGAACCTTGAGTGGAAAGAAGAAGAATAAGAAGAAGAAGAAGAAGAAGAAGAAGAAGAGACTTTATTAGTGAATGATACTACATATACAAGTGAAATTTTGAGTTTGCGTAATTCAAGCTTTGAGCATTCTCTGACTGGATCTGTTACCCGGTCTCGATTCACTAACAGTAACATAGTCATTAATATCGAAGTCATAACAGTTATGTAACAGTTTGAAGAAGAGAAGACATTCAGTAAAAATAATTTGATAGCAAATAGGCAGTATGTTTAACATCACAAGACTGTCAGTATAATTAGTGGAACCAATTATCCACTTTACTGCCTTTTTCTTGAAATTTTTCCAAATCACGTAGCTTTGGTAAATTTGGGTACCAAATACAAGAGTTATAAAGTAAAGGGGACCTCACACAAGAAATGTACATTTGAAGCTTAGTTTTAACAGGTGAGTTGAAAGGAACATTACGCTTTAAATAATGAAAATATTTTGTGGCTTTAACAAGTTTCGCAGAAACATGGTGATTCTAAGACAAAGTAGGCGAGATATAAATACCCAAGTCTTTGATATGATCAACAGAGCATATTTCTGACCCGTTAAGATAAAGGTTGAAATTAAAGCTATTCTTTGAAATGAATTTAGTTTTGTCTGGATGAAAGTCAAGACCGTTTTGGGTTGCCCAGGTCTCTACCGAATCTAAATCAGACTGAAAATTGTCATGACAGTTGTCTCGATAAAGCAGTTTCAGGTCATCAGCAAATAAAGACGGTGAGGAATACTTGACAACATCCGGGAGGTCATTGATATAAATAAGGAATAAAAGTGGTCCTAAAATGCTTCCTTGTGGTACACCGCTAGAGATGTAACCTTTGTAAGATAGAATATTGTTAATATGTACTCTTTGTGAGCGATTGGAAAGATAAGATGAAATTAACATGATAGAGTTTTCGTCAAAACCAAAAAAAGACAGCTTGTTCAGCAACTGTTTGTTTGACACAGAGTCAAAAGCCTTTTGAATGTCAAAATATACAGAACAGAAACTTTCATTGGCATCAATACATTTGTAAATATTTTCAACATATTCCAACAATTGTGTAAACGTGCTGCGCTTTTTAACAAAGCCATGCTGTCTACGAGAAAGTTTGTGTCGAACATTAGATTAAATGAAATTAAAAAGCAGTTTTTCCAAGCAAAGCGATAAGCGCGGTAAAATACTAATTCCACGATAATTTGTAATGTCAGATTTTGGCCCGGACTTTTGAAAAGGCATGATAAACGCCTCTTTCCAAAAATCGGGCCAAATACAGCAGGTAACAACTTGACTGAATAAAATAAATACCATAGGCGTGAGTGCAACAGCATTATATTTGAGAACAAATGGTAGAATGCCATCAGCTGCAACTGCTGTGGTATCTGGTACCTTTTTAAGTAAACTATTTACATCACTTTTACCAAACGATAATTCGCGCAAGTTAATGGAAGTATTATCAGAACAACCGTTATACGTAAACTTTTCGCTTTTGTACACAGAACAGAAAAAGTTATAAAACAAATCGGCTTTGGTGTTATCAGTAGAAGCACATGATGCTCCCAATTTAACAACAGAAGCAATTGGTGTGCTGCCAGAAAGTTTGTGAAGTAACTTGAAACAGTCGTTAGTATCAAGTGAATGAAAAGAAGACAGTAATGTAATTTTATCTAGCTCAATCGAGTTATTCAAATCTTTTTTAAGATCAGACAACAATGTCGAATAGAGCAAATTGAATTTCGCCAATTTACGCTTCTCAGTAGAGACTTTGTTACTGAGATGTACGGAATGGCTAGACAAATAGAATGGTAACATAGATCTTTTCTTGCGTTTCAGGCAAATAGAAGTCTGAACCGACTTTATCATAGCATCATACCACGCAAGATAAAAATCAGTGGGAATCATTCGAAAATAAACGTGGAAAAGGTAATCAAAAATAACTAAAGAATTCATGAAAACATCGATGTTAAAAGTGTTTTTAGAATAAATTGGAATGTCATTAGGTAAATCAGAAGTGATGCTTTCAGAATTAGACACATGGAAAATAACTGTAACAGGATAATGATCGGATGTAAAATGGTCTGGTTCCACATTCACTGAGCACAGCTCAGGTTGATTTGTAACAAAAATATCTAGCGTGTTGCCGCAAATATGCGTCGGCTCAGTCACTAGTTGGACACAATTCAATGAATCGAAACTGTCTATCACAGCCTGTGAACTAGCGGTAATGGCAGAGTGAGATATCCAACACGCGTCTGGCGTATTGAAATCACCAAAAATAGAAATAATACCACAGGGAAAATCATGCAGAAACTTTGAAGTGTATAACTCCAGACACTGAGATAAATGGGTGGATGATACTCTATAATTTGATGTGGCCGGGGGATTATAAACCGATAAGATAAGGATTTGATGATCTGTACTTAAGACAGTGCCGCAAGCAAAATCAAAATCAGGTAAAGTGCAGTCCCAAGCCGCCAGGTTCAAACCATCACGCACAAGTATTGCAACTCCGCCGTGATTGCAATTTTTTCGGGCAGCTTGTGAATTTGTGTAATAACCTGTATTAGGTAAAGTATTTGTGTCATTGGAGCTTAACCAAGTTTCGCATGAACACAAAAGGAGACATCAGGAGACATGATATGTAAAAGTTTGATACAGGATAAACGTTTTTCAAGGCTGACCAAACTACGAGCATTCCAAGATACAACTGTTTCACTGGTCATTCATGCAGTAATATCCACGACAATGTCTTTGTGAAAGAGTTGTAAATTCAGAATTTTCAGATCTTGCTTTGGAGTTCCGCTATTGATTAATTCCCAGCGTTTCTTGAGAATTAGTTTTTCCAATGCAAGTTCATCACTTGTTAGAGACTTCGATATAAACACTGGTGTGCGAAATTCTTTGAGAAGTTGTGCTTTTTTCAGAACTTTGCTAGCAGTCCATTCATTGGAAAATTTCACCAAATCAGAACGAGGTCGTGTATTAGTGGATTTGAATTGACCCAAACGCTTAATTGAGGATACCTTATATCGATCCCACTCATTCAAATGCTTAAGTACATCAGATACAAGGTTTTCATCAGACTCCATCCTTTTCAACTGTGTATTATCAGTTGGTTCAGGAAGGTTCTGAATGCGAATGTCAAGTTTGCGTTCAAGTTTCTCAGTAGATACTCTCGACTGAGTGTTAACAGCATGTAAAATAGTAGATAAGTTGTCCTTCACTAACTTATCAACAGTATTAGGTAACTCTGAAAGAGCTTCCTTGATAGCATGTTGAACAGTAACATGAGAAACAGGTAAACAAATTTTGCATCTGAATAACAGTAACTTAGCTTTAGTAATTTGCGGGATAAGATCAGGTGGTAGACCGCAACAGGCATTGTGAAACCACTCATCACAAATGTCGCACTGTATCCATTGTGATCCAGGTTCTCCAGTCTTCTTGCATTTCGCACAGTTTCCGATATCCGTTGTGACAACATCCGTTGTGGATCCTGAGTCTGCACGTCTGGTTCGCATACTCAAAATATGAAACTATTTAATAAGTTTATCACCACAATTAGAACGAATGACTGAGTTCTAACTGATTCCTGAGTTAAAACTTATTCATTCAAAACTTCTTGAGTTAGACTTAATTACCCCAAATTAGTTCTAGAATTGCTTTACCATTATTAGTTATTCGATTTTAGAGGTCGTGTCGTTATGTGAATAACTAATTTAAATTTCTTGATTGATATTTTGTGATTAAGGAGAAATTTTGGGTTTATCCATCTGAAATGGATCAAGGGTCCACGGTCCAATAAAAACTAACGGTATACTTGAGGTTCCGACCCTGTTGTTAACGGCGTTTGCGTGTTCTAGGTATTTTGAGACCTGAGCATGGGGGCGTTCTTATTTCTAGAGTGGGGGAGTTTTTTGGTAGTAGCCTTTACGCTGTAACACGGTTTGTAGTCTCATGTCGCAAGTGAAACAAATTGGCTCCGACCGCATGAAGTAGAAAAACACAAGAGATAATGTCCCTGACTCTTGAGCCAATGGTCATAGGGCCTATTGCTCTCAGCATCATATGTGCCTTAAGTAGGCGACTGTTACACTGAAATCCAGTGTGGCAAGGAGGGTTCAGTTCGTTGATGCGAAAACGGAGTACGAGTCATGCTCGGACTGTTCATCCGGAGATGAGACTTTGTCCGGGGAGTCAACTCAGGGCCAAAGTTATTTGTCCGGGGAGTCGATGCCAGGGCGACCGAAGGACAGAATTTGGGGAGTCGAAAAAAATGAAGGACAAACTTGAAGGTGGCTGTGTAGACTCCATCAGCTCGTGTGACGATTCGAAGTCTCAAACCTGGGGGAACGTGTCTGAAACGACTTCAAATTCAGACGCGTCAGAGATAGCGATCCATTCCTCACTAGTGGAATGGAAACAGCACGGGTTAGACAGAGAGTTGCATCTAGACCCAGACAGAGACAGGTATACCTCCGATGGGTAAAGGACTGTTGTCGATCATGCCGTAGAAGCACTTAAGTTGATAGCCGTGTCGAAGAGTCCGACTAGACTACTTCCGCATCCTACGGTCGTCCGTATCAATCTGTAACCCTTGAAGCAAGAGGCGACACCATTGAAAAAGATATGGTGTTAAAATGATGGACGATGCCCATGCTCCGGAACGTCTCTTAGAAGCTACCCGATAGCCGAAATACACGAATCTAAATGAAAGAATCCACTGTGATATTCCGGAAGTTACCGTGCGGAGTCCATCTTTTTCCTGGTTAACTAATGTGATCGCAATTGGTCAACTAACTTACTATTACCACTGCCACTACAACCAAATCCCTGCACTTAACAAAACTTTGCTACATGATTTTTTGTTCGTATCGAATTTTTGCCTTGGTTTTTCAGAGGTTTTAGCCTTATTTTTAATTTCAGATATGAGTGGAAGATCGAGAAATGTTCCGAGAGAATTTCGTAAAAAGGTAAAAAGCAGATCCAGATCATGTGATAGCTCTCGAAGCAGGCACTATGATAACTGCGTGGAAGCGAGTTCACTCAAATACCAAATGCGGCAGCAGCAATATCCAAAGGTTTCTGGATCCTCGAGGAGTTACAAGTACAGTTCACCGAAGCGATCAATGAAAAGGCCACATTATCGCCAAGAGGATAGCATCAGGTACGATTTAAACCAAATTTTTTAAAAGATACGCAAAATTTCCAGCCAAATATTTGACGTTAGAATTGGCCAATCATTTGCAGATAGCAGAGACTTTTGTCGGCAGTCATTGGTCTGCATATCTGCGTCTTTTTGCTGGAAGTACCTTTTTACCCTTGCTATGTAATGTAATTTGCTTTAGAGTTTTTTTTAATGTTACGAGTCATCAATCACTATTTTCCTGAATAGCTTTTGGTAACCCAAAATTCCTATTTCCCATCGTGGCTGAAAGGGTTCTCAACGACCCTATAAACCTTTTTTCTAGGACACCTGTTTTTTTTGGGAAATCCTTTCAACTTGAGAGTGATTTGAACAATAACTACACGTGGTAAACAAAAATTTAATATAAAAGTTGAGATAGCATCTTTTTGAATTCTCTGAATTAACACTTACGCATATAAGAGATATGGGAAAGTTGTGGTATGGTGGTCTTTACTTTTTATTATAGTACAAGTGATGCTAAGGTTTTGCTCGCTAAGTGCAGTTTCGCCTCCGTGTACAGCGTTGGTTTTTATTGATGCCAAATACTGACTGTTTCATGGTCTCTAATGGACAGTTTTCAGTTCAATTCAGAGTTTCTGGTTTGTAGGCGGTATGTTGCCTCTATCATTCAGCTCCGAAGTTCCTCAGACTTCTTTTCGTGTATTCGGAATTATTCACTTAACCAATGCCAGTTCGCTGGACACAGTTTAATTTAGTAAACAGTTCCAATCCACTAAACTGTTCCAGTTTCCGTTGATTTGGTCGACATTTTTTTTGTTGATCTTCTGTTTGTGCCTTCGTTGGTATCTTTCATTCAATTCTAATATTCCGCAGATTTTTCAACTCTGGTACATTTTTTGCGGCTCTTTACTGCACATTTTCTACCATTTTGATATGCTTTCTCAGTCGTACAGTATAGTACTCCAAGTGAGGTCTTCTTCGTCTTCGTAGGGCGTTTTCGAGCATTACTGCCCATTGCCCGCCATATGTATATCTCTCACAATTGCTTTCCACTGCGGCCTGTTCAGTGCAGTATCTTTGGCCAAATCGAACCAGCTTGCCTCCCAGTTCTTGTGGGTCATTTTTTGGGGTTTCAAGAATGGGCGGAGTTCCTTCTTCACTAACCGTCTCCACGAGTTCTTTACTCCACCGGGGGGTCTCTTCCAGTTGTCGGCTTTCTCAAATTCCAGGCATGCGTTGGGTATCATGTTGGGTTCCATGCGTAGGGTGTGCCCTAGCCATTTGAGGCGTCTTTGTTGTACGGTGGAACTCATGGTGTCTGTCGGAGCACCAAGGTTTCTCAGGCATCTGCAGTTGAAGGAGTCGAGGCGTTGAGTATCGGATGCCTTGACTGGCCAGGATTCACATCCGTACAGGAGCACGCTTTCGACACATGCTTTGTATACTTTCGATTTGATTCTGGTCGGGACTGATCTTTGTTTCCAGAGCTTGTCTAATTGTTTGAAGCGTCCTGTTGCTTTTCCGAGGCGGATCTGGATTTCGTGTGACACGTCACCATCGAGTTGCAGGTTGCTGCCTAGGTAGGTGAAAGTATTCACCCTATCGATGGGGGCGTCATTGCAGGTCATTTGGTCTCCAGGATAAGCAGAGCAGAATTTCGTTTTAGATGTGTTTATTTCAAGACCGCCTTTTGCAGCGGCGCGAGTGACTAGATCAAGAAGTGTCTGTGCGTCTTTGATATTGTCTTCAAGTAAACAGATATCAGCGAAGTCTAGATCTGTAATTACCATATCGTCAAGGGCGATGCCAAGGGGTTGGTTTTCCGTTGCTTCGAGCAATGCCCAGTCGATTACAAGGTTGAACAAGAATGGTGCAAGTATCGAACCTTGTCTGACCCCTGAGACAATGGCAAATGGGTTAGATAATGAGTTGTAAACCCTGACTGTACTAAACATGACTCTTAGGATTTGGAGGATTTTGGATGGGAGGCCGTGACTCTCGAGGATGCACCAGATTGTCTCGCGGTTGACGCTGTCAAACGCAGCTTTAAAGCCAATAAATACGAGAACAGTCTGTCTATTGTATTCGTGTCTTTGTTCTACTATTTGTCTGATTGCAAATATTTGATCGCGAATCCGCGCTTCTTTTTGAAGCCAGCCTGGTTGTCTCTAGCAACTGTATCATAGGCTGGTTCGAGCCTGTTTTTAAGGATCGCCTCTAAGATCGTGAAAGCGATATTCAAGAGTGAGATGCCACGATAGTTTGAGCATTTGGCTTTGTCGTCTTTTTTGTGGATGGGGACTATGACTGCTGTCTTCCAGTCATTTGGAATCTTCTCCTCTTTCCAAATAAGTGAGAGAAGGCGTTGCAAGTGGGGAAGAAGTTCATGTTGGCCATGAATAAAAAGTTCCGGGGGGATATTATCATTTCCTGCTGCTTTGTTTGTCTTCAATTTTCTTATTGCGAGCGAGATTTCGTCCAAACTGGGTGTATCAGTGTTGATTTGTGAGAGGGCTTGGCTGCGAATTTGAGGGGTCGCTAGATTTTTTGTTGGCCGGTTTAGTAGTTGTTCGAAATGGTTGGCCCATTGTTTAATTTTGTCATTTGTATCAGTGATAAGTTTTCCATTCTTGTCTTTCACTGTATCGATGTTTGGGGCTTTTGTTCCGGTTAGTTTCCTTACAGCATTGTGTACTCTTCTCGAGTTTCCGTTTGCATCTGCCGCAATGAGATCATCAGCGATGGTCTCGTAGAAGTTCTTTTTATCTACCCTGACCGACCGTTTGATGTCCCTGGAAATGTTTTTTTTTTGGATTTTGCTGTCCTGGCCCTGGTTCGTTTTTCCACCAGTTGTAGGGTCGTTGGCGAGATCCAAGGGTTCCGGATTGACTTCTTTTTGGGAATGTTCTTTTCCGTTGATTTTGTCAGCGCGTCTTTGATGCCCGTCCAGTAGCCATTGACGTCGCTTTCGTTTTGCAGGCTACCCAATGTGCGGTTTAGATCCTTGCGAAAGGCGTCGGAGACTTTTGGGTTTCTAAGTGTGTTGACATCATGTCGGAAAGATTTGGGGGCTTTTGTGTATACCTTCAATTTGACCTTCAGCTTGGCTTTGAGCATCTTGTGGTCAGACTGAATTAGGCAGTTTTTCTGGCCCACCGTGTGGACATCATCTATGCCAGATCTCCATCGTCTGGATATCAGGATGAAGTCAATCTGGTTTTGCGTTCTTCCATCGTTGGATATCCATGTTGGGAGTTTGTGCACCGATTTTTGAAACGTGGTGTTCGATAAGACGAGGTTGTTGTTCATTGCGTAGCTGATGAGTCGATCACCATTGCTGTTGCGATCGCCAATGGTGAATTTTCCAATGTTGGCTGCTTCGGAGTTGCATCTACTTCCAATTTTTGCGTTGAAGTCGCCTGCAACGATCATCAGATCCTTTTTTGGGACCAAGCCCGTCAGCTTGGAGAGGTCATCATAGAACTCATCTTTGATTTCGTTTGCTTTGTCTTCAGTTGGGGCATAACTACAGATAATTGAGAGGGGGGCTGGTTTGGCATGGATGCGGATGTAGCATAGGCGTGGTCCCATTGGTCTCCACTCCATAATGTGGTTGGCTAGTTTTGTTTCAACGGCTATACCAACACCATGGAGCCCCTGCTTGTCATCGTATCCGGAGCAATAAAATTTATAGGAGGGAGTGTCTGCAACATCGTTGATGTTGATGGAGGGGGATCCTTGGAATCGGGTTTCTTGGATGCAGGCCACTTGAATATTCAGTGATTTTAGCGTTGAAGCCATTAGTGCGAGGCTTTCCGGTGGAAGGAGTGTGCGTGTGTTCCAAGTAGCTAGATTGATTTGAGATTTGGAATGATTGACCGACTTGGCTTTGCTCCCCAATGCGGCTGAGTTGGGGGCCCCAGGTACCGCGGGAACCGTAGCTGAAAGTGAATTGTTTGATCGAGTTTTCATATGGGTACATGGCTGAATACATCCGAGGGTTCGCCACTCCCTGGGATGCCAGAGCTCCGTTAGCCCCACACTGCTGGCAGCAGTGCAGGTACACCCCTGCACCACGATGAGGAGGAGATGGGTTCTACAGGGGTCTTACAAGTGAGGTCTTACAATTGACTTGTACGAGTTACGCATGACGGCAGAGGAAATTTTTACAAAACTTCTTTTGATGAGTGCCACTACGCTCTTAGCTTTCTTTCTTTTCTTGTTAACATGCTGCTCAAACAATGTTTGGACTGGATCATATTAAAGTCCTTTCACTCGTGATTTGACCACATAAAAAATTTTCCAACCGGTTTGAAATTTTTGATTTTTTGTCCTAATTCAAGCGAATGAAGCAAGCGAGCAGGCTTTTTTTGTTTTCCACGCAAAATCGGCTATACCATAAATAATCATCGGACTGGGTCGAATATTGAAGCCTTTTCAGTCAGTGTGAAATTTTTGATTTTTTGTCTAATTTCGAGCAAGTGAGCAGGATTACATTAGCTTATTTATGCTTAATTTAGGCCATGAAAGTTTTGTTTTACTCAAATCTACTTTTTCGCTCAGATTCCTTTATCACACCAAGCCGAAAAAACGGCACTAATTGGAAAAATAATTTTGTTGTAATTGTCTAAGACTGCTCGGAACATTCTGTGCTAATAAGTTTCAAAATAAGTTTCAAAATTTACATTAGCTTATTTATGCTTAATTTAGGCCATGAAAGTTTTGTTTTACTCAAATCTACTTTTTCGCTCAGATTCCTTTATCACACCAAGCCGAAAAAACGGCACTAATTGGAAAAATAATTTTGTTGTAATTGTCTAAGACTGCTCGGAACATTCTGTGCTACTTGCACAGTAACCGGCTATCTTTGTATACTATAATTTCGTACTTTCATTCGCTTTGACAGGGTCATCGATTGTCATAGAATAAAAGTTGATCATTAATCCAACCTAGAAAGATAGTTTGGTAGTTCCCTTGCTGACTCTGCACCGTCTATTTTGTTGAAATTTTTCGCATCGTCTGCAAATATATAAGTTTCAAATGAAGTTACTTCTACCATTGATTTGATGAATTTTCAATTGGTCCTATCACAGAACACAATTGGTCCTAGCACGCAACACAGTCAAATGCTTTGCAGAAATCCATGTAAATAAAAAAAGTGATCCTCCCATGGCCGAAAAACAGATTCTGGAAAAATTCGGAACACTTCCCTCTTCGGAGTAGTAGACTGTGAAATAGAAGTACACCCTCAGCTTTAGTCCAAATTTCACAAATGTCCCTCTATCTTCAAAAACACTGACGTCGGTATAGAAAACATCGGACAAATCATGAAAGACTACCAAAGAAAATTGAATGATGAAAAGCCTCACAGGATGTTGATTTCAAGCATGAAACTCGAAAAAGGACCTCTGATAACTCCTTTCCTTAACTTCTACCTCGAACAAGGGCTCGTAGTGAAGAAATTTTTTTAGTACGATGGTTGCAAGTGCTTCAACTCCTTTTCGATTCCGTAGTTGAAGCAAGGTGTAAGGACAGCTTATTGAAGATTCGAGTGATGTGGCTAAAACTTTGAAGCTAATTGGAAGGAAATAGCTCATACGGTTCCCAGACAATAGATCGCTCCAAACATACAAAGACAAAAAATTTTTGATGGACACGGAGTTAGCAAGCTAGTAAACACCCGCTACTTCAAGACGTTGATTGAGTTACCAAACCATATCTTCGAAGTGGAGGTAGCGAAAAATCAAATCGAACAAAAAGAAATCATTGTGGGCTTATTTGCTTTGCAGTATGTTATGATGATGACGTTGCTGCTTTATTATAACTTCTTTGATGTTTTTCTTACTGAAAACTACGAGTTTATTGAAACTGATACGGACAGTTTGTAAATTGCTGTCAATGGAGAAAAGATAAAGATATTATCAAAGCTGAAATGAAACAATATTAGAATTCTAAGTAAGCAATCAGAAAATTAACGAGAACTTTTTTGCGCTGATGCTGAAAGTAATTTCTTTCCTCCCGAATGTTGCAATGACCACAATAAGTTCGATCAAAGAACTCCTGCGTTATTTAATGTGGAATCCTGTTGCACTGAGATGGTAGCATTTTGCTCAAAGACCTACTGCTGCTTTCGCGAATGATCAAAAACAGTAAAATTAAGCTCCAAAGGAATAAATCAGTCAGCCCTTATCAACGATTCCTCGATGAGTAAGTATCGAAAAATTCTCATGGAACAGGAAAAATTTGAAACAGTTAACCGAGGATTTCGTGTCGTTTGTAACACGAAAGTATGTTCTTACGAATTGAAGAAAAATGGGTTCAATTACTTCTACCTCAAACGAAAAGTACAGGAGGACGGGATTCATACCGATCCTTTGGATATTTAACCTACATTTATTTAACGTTATTTTTTAAATTGTACGCTTAAGTATCCTTTAACCAACATTTAATTTCATTCAGTTTTTAAGCAAAGTTTTCTTTTTGATAGAAATTTTGAGTAGTTTCAAACCCGCCCCATCTGTTACAATACTCATTTCTCACGCTTCGGAAAACACAATCGACATTTGGGGATTTTTTTTTCATTGTTTGAAAGTTTTGCTTACGGTTATCGGCGGCGTCCACATCACCGCGGGGGCGTGGGGTCTTTCATCTGGTGTAGTCGAATTTTCTTAAAAAGAGGTTTCAAGATTTGTTTTGGTGTGAAAATTTCTTTACGCTCGGTAATCGGCGTCACAACTAGTGTTGGCATTGTACTGGTACCGGTATTTTCGGTACTGGTGCGTACCGGTACGTACCAGTACATGTACCGGTACGTACCGGTACCTGACATTTTTTTTGACTAAAGCTCGGAAAAAAAGGTATGCAAAACTGTTAATTCAGTCGGAATCCGAATTAATTGGTGCAACCAAGTAGTCAATTGGATCATCAGAGTCCAGTAGTGCAGAGTTGGTGTATATGAACACCAATTTCTTGACTTTTTCGTTCAGAAGCCGGTTCCGTTTCTTGGTATGTATGAAATCAAATGTGCTCCATGCTCGTTCGCTCGATGCGTTGGAAATCGGTACATTGAATATTCGTAAGGCAATTTTCTGTAACATTGGGAAATCGTTCCGGCCATAAATTGTCCAATATTGAAATGGTGTCATCTCAAAGTACTCTTTCTTCGTCTGCGGGTCCATGAGTGTGAATTGACTCAAAAAGTTGTTCAGTTCTCGGTTGAATGCGACATCTGCATTTTCTTCCACAAACAGGTTCTTAGCGTACTTCCGAAGCTGTTGTATAGTGTCGAGGCGATCGGTGCCTACCATATCAGATGACTCGGTGTTCCGGGGAGTCAAAATAAATGAGAATCCCATGGACTCTGTATGAATAAAATTCCAACGTTTTTCAACCAGCTCGGTATACAACTTCTTGTCGGCTGCTGGAAAAGTTGCATAGTGCGCAGTTAACTTCAGAAAATATGAGTACACACATGACAAGTCGGCTGAATCCCTCTCGAATTTACCAATTATTTTTGTTGGGTACTCAACTCGCTCGATAAAACGCGAAAGTCCTTCCCAAAATTGTGGGTCTCGTACAATGCCAAGAAACGAATCCCGTTTTGCTGCCTGTTGTGATCTGACATCTTCAATAACGCCATCAATTGCCAAAAGCGAAATGACACCCTTGTTGTCTAGAAGTGATTTGGCACAATTATAACGTGAATACCAGCGAGTAATAACAGGTAGACAAATTTGTTTTTCCACTCTCAAATTGGCCTTGATTTCGCGATATTTAGCCAAAACGATGTGCCTCTCTTTGATATATCGAACAACCTGGACTGCCTGGTTCAAAACGTTGTTGTTTTCTTCAATATCGCAAATATCTTTCACCAACAGATTCATGGTATGGGCAGCACACCCGTTAGCAAAAACTAGTGGATATTTTTCTTCAATTTTGTCGAGAGCTTTTTTCATGCAAATGGCGTTATCACTGACCACAGACAGTAGTTTTTCACTTCCGAGCTCGTCAATTACCTCAAATAATTCTTTTGCAGTATTTTCAGCAGTTTGCGGCACATTTGAGGTATCAATTGACTTGTAAAAAAGGGGTTTCTTGCCAGGTACAATCACAATATAGTTCACGATGTGATCATTGCGGGTGTTAGACCAACCGTCCGTAACAATGGAATAAAACTTACTTTCATTCATCCAAGTGTCGAATTTTTGCTTCAAAATACCGTAAGCTTTGTCTAACAAATGTCCACTCAAGCTTTTCCGGCTGGGCATTTGGGTAACATATGCCGGTCTCACAGCCTTAATAAACTCTTTCATGGCAAAACTGTCAATAACTTGAAAAGGAATACCAGTTCTGTAGAACAAATTCGCAAGAAGTGTATCATAATTTTCTTTCTGTTGCAGGGTCAGTTTATCTACCCATGTGTCGACGATAGGCGTAGCACTGGTAATTTTCGGTTTCTTAGCAAGTGGTTCGAAACTTTGTGATAAGACTGTAATATCGTTGCTAGAAGAACTCGCCACAATAACTTCTCTGGATTTGAAAAGTTCTTTCTCTTGCGCAGATTGACCAACGCATTTGCCACCACGTTTATGACTTTCAAGTTTCTGTTTAGTCCAGAAAATTGAAGTTCCACAGACTTTACACGTTCCTTTTCTATACGAGGTTTTGTCTTTCAAATACGTCGCGATATCATAAGTTTCGTTTCCCATGGTGAGACAGCACAAAAGAACACTATACATCTGAAATAAAACGACTGATGCAGTGATATTTGTTGACACATCGACTCTGACAGCATATTAATCACACACTGAAAGTAAATATTACGTCATTTTTCTGAGAAATACTGGTACTGGTACAGGTACCGGAAATATCGGTACTGGTACGGTACCGGTACCCGTACCGGTACTAAATGTACCGGTACCTGGTACCTGCCAACACTAGTCACAACTCACGACAGAGGGTTGCAGTAACATCTGGTCTTGTCGAATTTTAATAAAGTGAAATTGTAAGAATCTTTTCTTGTGAAAATTTTGTTTACGGTCGATAATCGGCGTCCCCACCCACCACGGAGGGTAACAACTGATGGTGCCGAATTCAAATAAGGTGAAATTTCAAGATTTTTTTTTGTGTGTGATGAAAGTTTGTTTACGTCCATCGCCTAAATAAACAAAACATTTCTAGGTCTTTGTAAACAATTGAAACTAATCAGAGAGCGCCATTTTTACGCAGGGTTTTGCGCCGTATATACTATTTTCGCCTCTTAGTTTAAATTGTATATTCAAAAATAACTGCGGTCGAATTTGTGCAGCAACTGGTATTTTTTGTTTGAATTTGTTTTCCCATTTTTCCGATTCAAGGCAACTAATATTTCCGTATGTTTTGAAAATTAAGCTGTTGAATAATAAGTATTCCTAGCAACAAACCAAATTGAGCTTCTGTTAAGCTGCCACTGGCGCAATCGTAGTAGATACTGACAAAGCACGCAATGTTTTAATGTTACTTTTTCGCAGTTTTTTATAATTTTTTCCCTTGTCGCAAGTAATGCGAAGCAGATTTGAGCCGAGTTCGTCTTTTTTCAAGGTTTCTTTTGAAATATTGGTTTCACTAGACGAAACATTTGTTTCAGCATACAGAGAAAACAGCGAAAAATTTCGAGAACTACCTCAACCTGTCGACAGCAGTCTAATAATTACGCATACGAGGCGGAGAAGGAGGGCAAAAAGGGACGAAGATCGAACTACCCTGTGCTAACCACTAACACGGCCAAGCAGCGAAGTTGCAGTAGTCCTCGGCGGACTAATTCGCAGTATCAGCAGCATCAACGCAGACGGAAGCCTCGCAGGCACTCCGAGTCGTCTTACTCGAACTCTCGTTCCAGCAGCGACGATGGATACAGAAGCTTAGAAGTCGCCAAGGTAAATTAGTTCATACGACTTACCTCATTCGTTTCCAGTCACACAAAACACACATTTAATTGCCCATTTAATTAAACATTTAATTGCCCTCACAAGTTACACCTTTAATTGCTCAAAAATATTGCCCTTACGCGTGTAAATTTTGAGTAATTTTACTTTTTAGCCCCCAAAATGCGACGAAGAAGGTCACCTGGTCTATAAGAAAGGAGACTTGATTCAAGGCAGATATGAGCTTCTTTCTACGCTTGGTGAAGGCGCGTTTGGAAGAGTGATCAAATGCGCGGATCATGACCGGAATGGTCGCCGAATAGCTCTGAAAGTAATAAAAAATGTGCAGAAGTACAGAGAAGAGGCGAAGTTAGAGATCAAAGTGCTGGAGACGATCATAGACAAGGACCGAAAGTTCAAATCCGGCTGCATCTACCTCTTGGACTGGTTCAACCTGCACGGCTTCATGTGCCTAGCTTTCGATCTCCTTGGAAAGAGCATATACGATTTCCTGAAGGACAACAATTATTACCCATTTCCAATGAAACACATTCGCAAGATAGCACAACAGCTAGGTAAATAAGCATGATCAAATTAGAGAAAACTCTAGTTTTAACTGTTTGACAAACATTATATTTCGTGTCTGACTCATGATACCCCTAGCTCCCTCTTTTTCCAGTAGATAAAAAAGTGATGCTGAGCATATTTGAAAATACAATGATATCTGATTTTCTTTAAGGAAGCGCCGTGAAGTTCTTGCACGATCATGGTATGACTCACACAGACTTGAAGCCGGAGAATATTCTTTTCATTGATAGCAGTTACGAGATTATGTGGAATGTAGACAGACACAGAGAAGAGCGAATTCTGCGCTGCTGTGAAATTAAGTTGATAGACTTTGGATCCACCACTTTCGACGACGAGGTAAAGTTAGGCTGTCATCTAGTTAAGAAATTAATCGGCGGTACCAGTTTGGGAGTTTTCGAAGAGTTTTATTTTTTTCTTCCTCTTAATCGAATCGGCTTCGTTCAACCCAGGCAGGGGCGGATCTAGGGATTTCTTTTTTTTCTAGGTCGACCAAATTGAAAAAACGTAAAAAAGCTGCAAATACAATATTTCTCTGTTAATTTGTCCTCCATATAAAAATGCCTATCATACAAGTCATTGAAGAAGTCCCCGGGCAATTTCCCTATTATACAATTTCCGTTCAAACTGTGTGCAAACGTTTTGGCCAAATAAAAAATATCATAATTCTTTCATATTTAGGCGAATTTGAATTTGACCGAGTCTGCAGTTTGAGATTCTTTTGTTCATCAAAACTTTAGTTTTCTTTTGCATGGGAAAAAATATTTTATTTATTTTTAAAGTGAGGAAAAAAATTCTTTTTTTTAGCTGCTAAGTCAGTTCTGTTCTCAAAGATGAAATTTCCAAAAAAAAATAGCATGCAAAAACTTCAAGTTCATGCATAAGTCTTGACAAAGTATTTTGCCCAGGAGAATCAAAAGTCCCGATGAGGTTCTCAGAGAAGACAAACACGATTTTTTCAAATCAAACAGTGTGAAAGCCAATAACAGTGAAAAGCGTATCTCAAAACGTAAAGTAACCTGCAAACTTTTTTAGCAATGGACGTTTCAATATGAGAAAAATCTTGGTTGGTTGTTACATTTAGTAGCAAAACACTGAAAATTGTTTCTAGCTTTCAACTATGGATAACATGTTTTTTAATAAGAGTACATTTATTTAAAAAGGTAGTCATGCGTTTACATCAAAGAAAAAATGCAAGTGCGAAGGAACTATTGAGAAAAGTATGTTTTCTTTCCAGCCATTTTCGAAACGACCTGAAAGAAAACTCGTAGAGACGCGAAGTGTGTTATCTTAAGAAAACCTTTTCAAACGTGATTTATAACCCATAAATAGGAGCGGTTCTGGGAATTTCTCGAGGGGGAGAGGCGGATTTTCAAAAAAAAATGAAAATTTTGTCGACCTTTTTTTTGGGTCGACCAAATTTATTTTCTGAGCTCTCCCAAACCTCTACAAAGACCCTAATTTGACAAAATTTTCTCCGCCGCAGGCAAACTTAAAAAGGCCATAAAGGCGTTTTTAGGCACTTTTTGGAAAATTGTGACTAAAAAATCGCGTTTTTTCGGCGCGCGCTCCCCTTCAAAATTAGTATATTTCGGCGCCAAAGGCGCTTTTGGAGAAATTTAAGGGTTGTTCGGCCAAAAATGGGTTTCATAAAATAATACCAAAGGGGAGACCCTTTGATTGGTGAGGGGGGGGTCGAGTCCATATTGAGAGGGCGTCCGCCCTTGAACCCAGCTATTTCACATGACCTTAATAATGTGATCATGTCCATGACTAACAACATGGCTCCTCTATTTCAGCACCACACAAAAATTGTACAGACGAGGCACTACAGAGCACCAGAGGTGATTCTGGAACTAGGATGGTCCCAGTCATGTGACGTGTGGAGCATAGGATGTATTCTATTTGAACTATACACCGGTAAGTCTGGAATAAATACTCCTATAAAATCAGCTATATTCACCATTGGTTGTGTCCTGGCACACATCTCTTGCATTGCATTGTATCACTCATTTTAATTGCAGGTGAAACAATGTTCCTCACGCACGACAACCACGAGCACCTAGCCATGATGACATACATTCTTGGTCGAATCCCGTCCTCCATGATTAAGAAGTCAAAGAAGACCAAATACTTTTACCATGGTCGGCTCAACTGGGATTTCGATGAGCGCAACTCCAGCAACAAGTACATCAAACAGCACTGCAAACCCCTATCCAGGTAAAATTGCTTTGTAATACGCTTGCTTGCAGTGGACTGGTCTATGTTAGGTTGACAACTATGGCGGGCCCGAGTGAAATACAGTTTCGGACTGCGCGTCAAAAGAGGAAAAGGCGTTTCTTGCGTCGAGAAAAAAAACGTTCAAATTGTTCAATATGTTTTTTATGGTTATACGCAAAACTTTCGTGTAAATAAGAAAAAACTTTCCTAATGAGATAAAATACGAGGTTTTTCGGATGTTATTCACGCTCATCGTAAATTTTTCTTCGCAACTAAAAAATTCGATTGTGCTTTATTCTTGCAACGATCTGTACTAGGAACGTGATGTGCTACCTTCTCTACAAACGGTTACTCTTGTTTCAATGTCAAAAATTTTGCAGGTTACTATTTGACCGTTTTTAGATGTTTGAAGCACAGAAATGAAGAAGATGAATTGCTGCTAGTATTACTCTGGGATTGTCTTGCATATGATCCAGAAAACAGACTGAGCATGAGCCAATACCTCAAACACGAGTACCTCCGATATGATTCTCCTCCAAACACAGTCAATGGCAGCAGCAGTTCCGCTCACAACGGCACCTCCAGTAAATCCAAGGCAGTCAGTAATAAGAGTTCAGGTAATACTTCTGCTCGTCGTGAGAGAAGCTCCTCAAAAAGCAGACACAGGACGGCGAAGCGAAATCAATCACTGCAGACACCCGACTCCTCAAAAGATAAACATTCGGAAGAATCGATCTCACCCAATGATCGAAAAGAGAGCCGTAGATCCGAGACGAGAAGTAGCACTAATCACAGTTAAAGTTGATGATCCTGTATTTGAACCTTACGAAGAATACAATTCGTCGATGTCTCAGCATCGCGTTAAAGAATGCATAGAACTTAAGCATCGACTTACTCACTTGCTAGTAATATTTTTTGAACGCTACTCAAATAGACCCAACAGGAACTGAACTGTTTTGTGAGACAAGTTTTAAATATAATTATTGTTCTTATGTATTCTAGTGTTAGTTTTTACGAGTTGTTTTGAACGATTTTTTTGCTTACCCAGATACAGCAAAGAGATAACGCTGTAAAAGAGTCAAAATTTAATTATTTTAACTGACCTGCAAACTTAGCTCTAAAAATCATTAGATTTGAAGCTCATTGGAATGTCGACAAGTTACGTGCCAGTGATTCGACAAAATAGAAACGAGTTTTACTAGCGGACAGGGGTAGTTCTTATTGTCAGCAGAGTTCAGTTTTTTATATGGCACAAAGGAGCCAAAGGTTACTAATAGTCAGACTATTTGAAAATCCAATTAATTAACAAACTATGAGGTACCCTGAAATCAACGCTCTACGGAAGCAAAAACATCAACAATTACCTGCAAATACATATTTCACGATGTCTACAAAATGTATAAATCACGTAGATTGTGAGCTACAGATTGAATATCAGAATGAGTTAAATATTCTAAAAAGTCCGGAACTAAATGATTATCGCGTAACAGATTGAAAAGTTTCGATTCCCTAAAGCTAAGCGAAGCTTGTTGTATTTGACACTTTTAGTTCGATATTTACAAGGGAAAATAAGTTGCTCGACGGGTCATGTAAACAGGATTCTCAAAACAGAAAAGATTTTTTTTAAACTTTCACAATGAAATCAAGCAAGGGATCTCATTACAAATTTGAGAAGTTCGTAGACATAAAGCTCGTGAACAGTTGAATTTTATTCAGTATGAAAATGTGAACGAATGCTATCATAATTTCGTTCGAAATGAAGCACGCAAGTTTTTTTTTTGTATCATCAAAAGAGGCAATAGTTGAGTATAACTGATGCAACCATATACGAGAATTCGGCATTGCAAAATTAGCGAATTGAAGTAAAATCAATTTTGGAACATAATGACGCTTTGTTTTTGCTGTTGTGCTGATTTTTGATACACAGATGCAACTGAACAAAAACAAGCGAAAAACGGCTAATTGTGCTTAAATTCAACAAAAAACGACAATACGGAAAAAAAGCCTTATGGCTTTGCAAAATTTGGAGATCGAACCCGCCATCTCATGCTTACAGGTCGAACATTTCGATAGCGCAAAAGCAAGGTAAAAAAATTGAATTGAATGAATTGTAACTTGAATCAAAAAGACAAGCAAAGCGTAGTGTTATACTGCAAAGTAAATACTTTTTTTCTAAATCAAATAAGAAATATTAGTGCCATTTTCTCAGTAGTCTACATTGACAATAAATATCACTTGCTTTGAAATTTGGTCAAAGGATAAAAAAGTTAATGATAAAAAAAGTTATACCTAGATTTTCTAAATCATACTTTATCAGATTTTCGAAATCCGTAATTGCAACACAGTTTAGTACTAGGCATTCTATTTTGTTAAATGCAAAATTAGTGTCGCTGCCTTCAGTGGCTTTAGTGACAAAAAAAATAGTTTTGGCAAGCAAAAAGTTTTCTGACTTTTTGCGAAGTTGCAGCTGCGCCTCTGTGTTTAATGATATAGCTGTTTTGTAGGAAGAGTTTTTTTCGAAAACGTTTTTTTTTACATTTTATGTATTTGATATGCAATACAGTGCATAGCCAGGCAGCGATAGTATTAATATGATCAAATTGTGTTGACGCTTGAGGTGGGGGTTTGAACCTCGTTATTTTGCTAGTTATGTACCAAATTTTTTGTACATATGGACGAACCGCAGCTTTGCACTAATCGCTTCATTTTTCCAATAAATATAATCAAAAATTGTAAGCTTTTCTTTTCCGTCGAAATTGATCACTATCACCTAGCAGCATATTTTCTTTTTTTTTCCAATGAAAATCAGATGACCCATTAGTGTAATTTATAATATCTCATAAAAACTTTACTTAATAATTCCAGGTAAAATTTCGACAAACTTTCATTAAATACTTTATTTCTATTTAATTAAATGAAAATAAAATGGGTGTTTTGTACAGACTTAAGTTCCTGTCGTGTCAGGACAATGTTTAAACGTTTGTATCTTTGTGCAATTCATTTTTATCAGATGGCTAGCATTTAACTATGTCATCCTTATTGACTAGCTTAACTTTGATACCTGTTCAATTAAGGAGCCCTGAACTTAAATCAACCATTTAAAGTTTTTTTTGTAAAACAGAAAACTGAAGAAAAAAGCAAAGCTAGAGAACTTTTCGCCTTTCGTCCAAGAAGTATCTCTCAATCGGCTGATGCTAAGAATTTGGTTTTTCATTCAAATACGTTTGATTTAGTCAGATAATTGAGTTATTCGGGTAAAAAGACAATTTGAATCTGATGAAATTATGTTTCATTTACTGTTCGCTGCAACTAAAGATCTTAAAATACAGTGCATTGCTTGACTAAAAACATCATTTTTCCTTGGAATAAAGCCTCTTTAGAATCAAAATATGAAAACTTGTAAAACAATTAACTAAAAGTAGTTATTTAAAACTAAATTGTTAAGCATGAAAATTTTTTGCCTTTTGCTAGAGCGTCCTTACTAAGCTATCAGACCAAAAACTCAAAATGTCAAGAATTGAATGAAGCAAATTCACTGAATAAATGGAGTCAAATGTACTGAATAAATGTTAAGATCAATAAACTACAGAGTACAAATTACCTTCCAATTCTAGCAATACAGGATACAAACGAAAAATTATATCAATTTTTTTTACCTTAGATGAGCTGGAAGCTTCGATGGAAGGCGACCAGAAAGCTTAAAAAATGCAGAAAAGAATTGAATTTTTTTCTTCAACTTATAGGCTGAGAACTTTGAAAATCAACAGGTAAAAAGTAAATTTGAAAGTATTCACTTAGCGAGCTCTTTTTCCTGTCAGTAATACCTTTGTTTTGATAGCATTGATTGTAAACAACCATTTTAAATTTATGCTGATGATTTTTGAGGTTGAAACCATGTTTAATGTAATTACACAAGCATACAATTGTGATTCACTTCGAATCCATTTTGTTTCTAACCCAAGCCGCATAAATTGGTACCATTTTTGCACAAAAAGCAATATCAGTCTTTGTGTAGCTGGTATCAAGTAAGTACCCGACAAGTATTAGTTGCCGGTATTTGTATGACAGCATACGCATATAGCTCAGCTGCTAAAGCATTAAACTCAATAGCTAGAAATAGAGATGGCGTAAAATCAGTTACTTTGGGGGTATTTTTCCATATTTCAGTTTTTTAGTTTTTAATTTCCATTTTGTTGCTATTTGAAAGCTTCCGTTTTTCAATTTTCGTTTATATTTGCTAAGTTCTGCTTCGCCTCAGTGTTTCAAAGATTTTGAAGCCGAAATCACTTTTTTAAGACGAATTTTAAAGTTTTTTCACTGAAAACTGGCGTGTCTTAAAAAATTTTTGTCTTGAAGTGAAAAAACTTTAAAATTCAATTTTCAGCGTTTGTCGTTGAAATAAAGCTATGTAAGTGTTGCATCTCTTGCAGATTGTTCCGAACACTGTAAATTGTGCCAAAAAGTATTAAAACAAATTTTTCTTAAATCTTTTTTTTATGATTCTTTTTGAAAATTATGTGCTTTTCTTTTTGCTTGTAACAACGCCGCCATTCTTTGCTTTTAACAATGTAATCTTCATCATTAAACATAAAGAACTGATAGTCCTTATTGATCTCGAAGTAGCTAACGTTTTATCGGTTTCGGCACTTTGCAGTTTGAGTGCAAAAATTATTTATGAAAAATTCATTTGAGTTTTTGGGGGGAAGTTGTAACTCTTAATAGCTCAAAAAATTGTTAGATTATTTTTATAGCATTTTTTGTTTTCGACTCAAAAGTCATCTTATCAAGAATTGTCTTAAAAGCGGCTCCTCAAAAAAGTTTTGAGCAGTTTTTTTGATTCTCGAATGTTTTTCCGATACTTGTTTAAACTTTTTACGAACTTTTCAACAAGAATTGTTTTAACAAGTTTTTTCAACGTAGTGTTGGAACTGGAAAAAAAACTGTGCTTCGCCTCTCTGTGTTCAAATAGTTTTTATCAAAAGCTAAAAATCATTTTTACAGAATCTGTCAATTGAGCTGCCCTCTTTCTGATTTATTTTTCTGCTCCGAAAGTATTTTGCTACTGGGCTCTAGACCTTGCGTCAACTCTTGAGTTCAGTTTATTAAATACAGTAGATTTGTAATTTAGCAAACCGCTTGCTACAAATTTTATAAAATAATGATTGAAGAATAATCAAATATTGTTCAAGACTACAGTAACTTGGGAAGATACAAAGAAAGCCCGACCAAAGAAAGCCCGACTCGAGGTTTCTTTCTGAATTTGCAATAGTAAAAGTCCTAACAAGGAAATACCAGTAAGTGATGGTAAAACCTAGGTAATTCCTGGTTTTAGTGGGAACTTTGTGCATTCGGCAAAATTACAGCCACTTAATCTTTTGTTTGTTGAATCTGCATTTGTTCATCAAAATATTTTTTTACTGTCAGTATATACAGATATACTAGAAAATTTAGCAAAAGTTTAAGAACAAGAAAACTTAGTGTTTGAGTAGAATTCTACTTATTCATATCGACTTGCAGTCAGTATGGTGTAAGTTATAATTGGAGCGTTGGAAATAACAACTCACGTGTCTCAAATAATCTGAAAGTTGTCATCCCGCAATTATTCATGTAAATGAAATTTTACGTGAATTGCATATTTATCTTGTAAATTTCCATTTTTTGAAGTTTTTTGGTTGATTTCCTCCTTTTGTTTTCGATTAGTAAATTTTCAAATTTCACTGAGTCTACAGATTGTTCATAAATACTTGAATCGTTTTCCTTTATTTTACAAGGAAATACGTCATAACGACGCCAAGCTCGGAAACATTGGTTATGGTTTGGATTTCATCATTGTCGATTGTTTCCATCAAATTCCCAGAAGGTTCCACAAATGGTCGAGGAATTGAAGTAATAAGACTCATGATTTATTACCGCCGAGCAGCGGACCTCTTGATTGGGTTCAATTTTGCCACCATAAACATTTCACTTATATTTATTTTAATATTAACCTGAGACATTTATGACTGCGATCTGGATTTGAACTACACCATTTATTATCATTTTGAGGTAACACTGGAATTGTCAGAAGATTATGGCGCTGACTTTTGACAA